CAAACTCCGATGGGATGAACTCAGAAAAGTGAGTTTGGCAAACAAGAAGGTTTATTGACAGGTTGAACTATGAAAAGTCATAAGTTGTTTATATAGTAACTCTCCATGGCATAAGTAACAGGAGGCTTTAAAATGATAAATTCAAAAAACAGATCTGACACCACTGACCGAACAAACAACAAAGACACAAATAAAACGCCAAGCTTTCCATCATGACCCTCTTGTGGGAAGGACCACATGTGCTTTCTGTCCTGTAACTAAAACAAATAGATCTCAGGGGGGATATTTACAGACGCAGTTTGGCACTAAAGAGAGTAATAATGTTGTATGATGAACATCATTGCCCGAATTTCTAATCTCCCAAATATTTTATATTTCACCTTGTAGAAAGACGTTAAGAATAGATTAATCTCAGTAAAGATGTCTGTTGAGTTTTTTTTTGGGGGGGGGCGAGCTTTGTCTGAGGAGACTAATGAAATGTTTGCTTATGTGACCGTTATTTTTCGAATCTCCTATATATTTCTTATTTCACCTGGTAAAAAGATATTAGCAATAGATCTCAGGAAAGATGTCTGTCTTTTTTACGATCCTGCTTCAAGGAGACTGATGAAATATTTGGTTGATGTTTTATTTTGCAATTTCCTAAATAATTCATGTCTCACCTGGCAGAAAGACGTTAGCTGACTTTTTTACAATCTTGCTCCAAGGAGACTAATATAATGTTTCTTTTTGTGACCTAACATCCTCAATAGTTCATACTTTTACTCTACCAACAATACATCAAAGATTTCAGACTTTCGGGTGTGTTTCGAGTTTTTGTGAATATATTGCAAATGTATTGTGTGCTCATGGGGAACTACCCGATTGGATTACACAATAGAATGGATTATTACTCATACGATTGATATTTAATAGATGACGAAACCATGGTGTGTAAACACCATGGTTTACGTTTCATACCACGATTACTCAGTACACATTCCTGGTGACCTTATAGCACATCGTATCACTCAGAACCCTGTCAAGCAACTGAAATCCAATCTCCGCCTACTCACTTCCAACCTTCGCTGCTGAGGACAAGATACGAGTACACACAAACTGCCCAGTAAACCAGTACCGCCTAAAACAATACTTAAAAAAACTTACAGGTACAGCAATGCGTTTCCATGGTCAGCTGATTTAACTAGAAGAAAACATCTATGCCAGCAGTGAACATGTTTGCAATTTGAAGAAATGATGTCATTTTTTAAAGAAAAGATAACCATATTATTTTATCACGACGACGAGACAGTATCTAGCTAAATAGACCAATTCGTTTGATCACAATAAAGGAGTGAACCCCACGGGACCTGTCCTGCCATCTTCTAATTCCACTGATTAGATACACCCCAAACGTTTTATTATGATTGAGAATGTGATACCTAGCTATAGCTTTTCCATTCACTAAACGTATACGTTTGGACTATTGCGCGAATTGCACGTTCTCCCATGCATTCTAATAGGGATGGACAATATATTTTAGTCATTGTTAAAAAAAATAGCATTTACTTGGAAAATAGATATTTAACCAGGGTTAATATAACACCATAAAACACATACATAGAGACAACGAAAATTAAACCGTCGTAAACAGAGGCAATGATACGTTAAATCTATGTAAAGCGGAAGACAAGCCTGTCTTGGAACGGTAGATCATTGCACGGAGATGAATGACGACGAATTAACGTAAATGCATGAAAAATACATTAGCGGCTGTGCTACGCCACCGCCGTAAAACCAATAAAATGTTTGATATTGATCTTACGATAACGTTAACGTCCGGGTGCAAGTCTAGCGTGAGGATTGAAATGACTACGTTTTATGGGAAATATATTTACCGTTGTCCCAAGCTAAGGTACAAAAACACGATTCCGATCGTTTTTCTTTCATCAATATAGTAGTACATAGTATATGCCCGATGCAAAAATAGGCATTCGGGCATTCTGTTCGAGTACAGGTCGGCGGAACACCTATGAGCGCCATAAAAAGAGTGGTTAGGCGAGGACCCCACGGTAAGCCCTAAGGGACGTGTCCTGAGCACCACCCAGTTCCACCTTACTTGGGTGCATTCATCATAAAGACCGACACGGAAGTTTCGTCCTAGCTTTGTAGCTGACGTTTCTGACATATGGCGTGTTTTTATAACCCCTACTCTTACATATGAAGCACCTGAGAGCTCACCAATCACGGGGGTTCCTGGCAGGGCTTGTTTCCAACCCGCCAGATATTGGTTTTGAGGCGGAATATTGTGTCATAAGTCAACCTTTGCCACAACATTCGTGTCTTATCGTGTCCCGAAGCGGGCGGCCGCCCGGGAGAGTATTGCTTGTGTTTAACAAGTTGAGACAAAAAAGGTGTGACTAAGGCCTACCTGTTTTAAACGAAGCAATAACAGCATCCAAAGCTACTGAACTACAGTATACGTGGGTCATGTCCCTCCTGAAAGCTAGTCGCACACTTCCCACGATATTGTGACACTATGACACTACATGACAATTTGAGCCTATCCAGAACGGTCCTGGGTGATGTAGACATCAAAGTCTTCATAAAGCGGAGGTTCTTACCAAGTCTTAATGGGAACCCTGACACGCCCCGCGATATTACACAGGTGTTTGGCAACGGTTTGTGGCTGAAATCAATAGCCAGGGAGTTTATGAGAGTTCAGGAAAAGAAGTTAGATATGTTTAAAAAAAGAAAAATGCTATAATAATGTACATAATTTGTGAATACATAACGCTTTTTGTGGTAACATTGCAAGACTACATTGTCGTGGCGCTTAAACCAATTTTATGTGTCTGGAACGACAATCAACGATACTAAAAAGGATTGCTGTTGATGTTGTTTTGTACCTGAAGTAATAGTCCATGATATCCTCCCTTCATTTTCATATACTTTTCATAGCTCTTCCCCATACCTTGCGTAACTGTAAGGTATACAGTTACATTTTTTGATCATATTCAACCAAAAATTATAACAAACACGTAATTGCAACAAAAGTACACCCTTTTCCTGTTATTGAACATTACATCATTTTCCGTGTCGAGTTTATGTCCCAAGTCAATTATGACTACCGATGACGTCACGAATGGTAGCGACCATTACGGAAAACTGCACTGCAGTTCAGGAAAAGGGGTTCTTGTAAAAAGCCGTCAAAGCAATATTGTAATATATACTATATTTAATGAAATCAATATAGATAGGCACTATTGATACTGAGATGAGGTGCTAGTTTCCAACTGGCCGTACGTTCATTGTGACGTCATCGGCACTCAATTTGATTGCAATACCAATGAACAATTCTGCTGCCAACTTAACTACAATAAGTTTTCTGTTTTATAGTCCTTAAGCTTCAAATCAAACAATATGCTAGACACTAAATGTAATTTAATTAAGCAAGTTAGATATACTGTGTTAGTGGTAATTTTTAGGTCCACCTGTATATTTTCTGAAGGCAATGGAAACTTTGACATCAGGGAGAAGTAAAAGTTGCTCGAAGTTACCGTTTCCGAAGGGCAATAACCTCAACCCAGCTATCCCGAGTTGATACGACACGTCTTTTTACGACATCATTTCAGGTGTACAACATTTTTAACGACAAAAAAATCTTTTTATAGATCAAATTTGACTGGAGCCTGTTTACTAGTTTCTTGAGTTGCTGCATAACAGGCCCGGTCACATATGTCGTGCGAAAGTCGTACGATCGCAAACTGAGAACTTTATGATAGTTGTGCATGTGTCCTGAAAAATCCAGCTGGTCTTGTTCGTTATTACGAAAAGGCTGCATTAGATTCTTGTAGGGCGGTTGGGGCCGTTCTGTCACAGTCTGCCTGAACACGGTACTGTTACATATGAAAATCGTAGGACGATCTACAATGAATGTGACCACACCAGAAAGTAATATCAGAAGTAGTGGTGCTAAGCCTCCGTGATTTTCATTTCCATCTGGAGAGAACCGGCATGCTAGTCACGACCGGGAAGGGGCGGGTCCGTGCTCGGGAAAGGGCAGGGAAAACGCAGGCTGTGCAGATTTGACAGAAAGGTAAATTGATGGAGGGTTCATATCAACGGTCACCGCACAATAACAAGTCAATGGCTTTCGAATGTATCGCGATCGTATTAGGAGAACTGTGAGGGGGATATAGATATAGGGGTCATCGCATTTTCACTGAGGCGTGCTTGTTGACGAAGTCGTTTTGTCAGAGTCAACAAGTTAGCGGTTAAATAAACCAGCCTTTTAAAACAAATTTGATATCAGAAAATATTTTATTACGATTTAAAGTTTGGTATGACATATACGATTCAAAGAATAAAACCGTTTTCTGCATAATATATAACAATACTACAATAGTCCATAATAGAGGATACCCATGTTAAGATTAAACATTGTTGACCTGATCGGTTAGACTCGTCGTTAAGCGTAACGCGCGGAATTCCGGACCTTCCCTAACCCAATTGTCTCGCAGCCGCCCCTGTGAAAACCCATGGCCCGTCGCCGCTCGTTTTCTCCCCAAGTGGTGTCAAATTCACGGGAGCCCCGTATCGGTCTTCCCGCGATTTATTGACCAAAATAATTAATTAACCGACTAGAGAGTTGATAATACGCTCCAACTTGACCCGTTAACCTAGCTGGCATTAAACATTTAGGGCCCAATCGCAATTCGATAAGAGGGAAATAAGAAGGAAATGAAGCTACCAAACACAAATGTCAACTTGTATTTATCACAGAGGTGGTGTTCGCTGCGCCGATTACTACTGCAGCGCTTAAAAAGATAATGAGACCTGTACAAGGAACTAATGCATTAAACCATACATCATTGTCGCCCCCTCGTCACTGCTCCACACAAACTAGTTTTAGCAAGGAGCTATGAATATTAATACAAAGAGTGGCTAACAAGGAAATGATGGAGAGAGTTTATGATCAAGCTCCGCTGGCGGTGAGAGATTTATAACAAGTTACCTACCTTTGCCGGAGGCTGCCCCACTCCTGGCGGCGTTGGATTGGGAGAGGACCGCGAGTAGGACGAAGATGCACCGCAGCATCCGCGGCAGCTGGACGCGCCTCATACCGCAGGTACAGTCGGTAGGCGGCTGCTAGCAGGAAACCGTCCCACCTCCGCCTCCTCTCAGGTACTCAGCGGAGCTAATGTGTGTAGCCCACCTTCGGCCGATCCTATTTCCTGTACGGTACACGCGGGAAATAAGAGAGTGATTGTAGAGGTGAGCGGCCAAGCACTGTATTAAAGAGTGGCAGGGGGAACGTACCGTATGTGCGAGCATGCACACTGGAAGTAACGTGTCAGCCCGCAAGATTAATACGGGGTCCATCCAATAGTCTTCATCATTTATGAGGCAGCGGCAGCCGAGATTGAGCGTCGCAGTGGAGAGTGACCCTTGCACTCGGCTAACTTCAAAACTCCCAGGGATATCAATAAAGAAAGGCCGATATTTTGTTTGAGGTCCTTACTTGGTTACGGTCAATGAGCAAACAAGGCCGAAGCTATAATGAGTTTTGGTCGGGCGGTCTTTGCCGAAATCGCACACACAGGTTCAACAGATCAACCTAATATTTTCTGTACGGCGCTCATGTGGTTCTGGGATCATAAACACAATAAAATGGCACCTTTTGGGGTTGCCATCTTTCTGAACGGCTTGTTTTCACAGAAAATTACACCAGAGCAATCTGGCGGAGGGTTAGTGTTCTGGGTTCCGGTCTGCTGCAATCATTACTCTGTGATAATGTGCACGCCTCGGATCAACCCCGCTTATTCGTAACGCCGCCGCTGACAAAGTAATCTTGTTTTAATCCGCAGCCGGAATAAATGGCGTACATGACTCACAAAACCTGACAAGGGAGGCACGGAGGCGAATCTGTCATCCGTGCCGCGGAAATGATGAAGAAAACAGCGCCGTGGCTGCCTGCCAGTCATACCACAGCAGCGGCGGGGGAATGAAACTACACCGCGACAGGTGCTTGACGAGTACTTTTGGTACTTCCCGCTGCGAAAGTATTGTTTGGGGCGTGTCTGTGGGTTTGTGTGTATGTTTGTCCGGACTTAGTAGGTTGACAGCACGTGTGTAGGGGAAGATTGACATGCAGAATGGCAGGTGGTCAAAAGGCCAGACACAAGAAATGAGGTGAATTTGAAGTTCTTAGAATCTGGCCGGAAGCTAGCAGGAATTACAGGTTTACATATGAGGGAATTCAGGAAGCCGAAGAACCCTGCAAAGTGCCTGTCCTACTCCTGCTTCGAGTACGTCATTTACGTATCGTATACAATCTGTACAGTCAACGTGGTTGGAAAAAATTCCCAGAATATTTCCCGGAGGTTGGAAATTTGTTGCATTTCATTTGGCTTTGTAGGAAACTTTTAAAAATTCCCAAACCCACCAATGGTTACAGCGTAAGACTTCCCAACAGCAGCCTAATTCCATGAGCAATTGGATGCAGTAAGTCTCCTCCCCCCACCCAGAAAAATCAGGGTGAAAAACACCCCTTTATAAACCTATTACATGCCAACTAGCAGATCATCCTCATCATGCAAGCTGCATCATCCCCGTTGCAAATTCTAATGAAACCAAATGAAACCACACAGCATGAAATTGGCTCCAACACAAAAACACAGAATGAGGGTATATAAACATGTGCGGTGTCCAATGCGTGTGACATCTGGAGTGAAACCCTGATTGTATTGTCTTTTCACTGCCCATAAAAAGAGCGCGAAACATTCGCGTACTCGCGGGATCCTAACCTATCATACATATAGCTGCCGAAAGAGACTTGGCAGCTGAAATAGGTTTAGACTACTTTCATTCATGCATAATACAGCACATAGCTATCGTTGCCAAAATAAATACTGTGATATAGGATATCTATTCATGTAATCCAATTGATTTTGAACGATTTGAATTACACGATATACGACAGTTTTTCCCGATTGTTAGCTCTACTTTGCATTAGATACTAGTTTTGTGTAATTTGACATTAGGCTATTTATTGTATTTTGTCCCCGTGTTATAATTAATTAAAATAGAATACTTTTAAAGGTGGAGTAGGTTTAAACCTCTTTTTACGACTTGGCAAAATGATCCATCGGTGGTGTAGGCTTAGTTCAAGGGTGACCCGAATAGATCTGGAGAAAGTCTTGGTGAAAAGTTTTCTTTTCCTCTATAGGAACTTCCGCTCTTGATGAAAGTCCACCTGCTCATACATTCCGGTCCTAACGCAATCACAATTTCCCACTGTTGTATTGATCACAGAAAGCTATCACCGTGGCGTTTAAGCTTAGATAATTATAAGATTAGGGGAACGTCTAACGATATCGATATTCCATTGAAAACGTAAGCAATTCTTTGATCTTTGCCTAAACCACAATAATCATTGGGACTTAACGGTGTTGGGACTTTGAGATAGTTCGATAGATAATAAGAATGAGCTGTTTGAAGAAAACTTCTAGAATAGTGTCGAACGGGTCATATAGCTTTACATTTTGTTGCTTTGTATTGCAATTTCAAAATAAAAATATGAAATAAGACACCTTTCAAAATTGCTACAACAATACAGAAAGGGAGAGAGAGGATATAAAATAAAGTCCATGAAGTGAAGATGTACGACAACGATCTTGAAAAGAAATTTTTCGAAGAAGAAGCGGGAAAATTCGTACTTTGACCCGGGGGGAAAAACTAACCAAATAACAAGCAGCAACTGAGGATTTATCCTCCTTGTGGCTTTTTGGAGCCTATAATGTGCTTTTCTTCTGTGAGCCGCCTACGGAGTTAGTGAAGATCTAGCAAAGTACGCCCGGCCTCTGGGTATGTACTTGAGTAGCAGCAGCAGCTGATGAATACCAAATGTCTCGACTGCTCCGTACAGCCCCGCAAAGGTCTGCGTTATGAAGAATTATTCCGGAGATTCCCGTGTAATTACATTATTGGTCACGCTCCGTGCGTAGGTGATATTCACAGCCACGTCCCCCTGCCTCTTGTTCGTATTCACGGCTACGTAACCATCACCGCTACCTGCCTACAGGACGTCCTGGTCATTACAATGGAAGATGGAAGTCGCGCAAAGACTTCTAAATAACTTTCTCTAATGTTTCTTTAACCACAAATCACGGCAACTTTACTTTCCATAAGTCCTGACATATTACTTGTGCAAACAAGCTGTGGCGCTCCGGTAAGCTGAAATTTAATAATCCCAGGGCAATTTATTAGTGATGTACGGCGTGAGCTAAAAGGTCGCCCGTGGACTATCTGTCACGCACCGCCGGTGTGAAGTACAAGAAAGAACGCACATGAAACACCATATCAACACTTTATCATTTTACAATGGGACAACATTCTATGTACAGCATTGTGTAAACAAAATTTTAATATGACACAGCTTGATAGCGCAATGAGAGTTTGGAAGGAAGTAAGTGACCGTCCGTACATTGAACAACATTCAAATCCTAGCCCTTATCCTACATGTAAGCCCTCCTCCTTTGAATTGATAATAATCACAAATGAAATTCAGTTGTAATACAAACATAAGTATAAATGTTCAACAAAAGCAAAAAAGCCAACCGTTAACGTTCACGCTAACAAATGCAAATAGTCTGGTAACCGTGATCCTAAAGGAAGAGGCAGCCTATAGCTAATACGTCCCATGTGGTCATAGTAATAAGTATAATTTTCACACCCATCGCCAAGCGTATATATGCAGAGTCAGCTCTAATAATGTATAAGTACCATCTTAATATCGCTCTAATCACCTGAATTTAGTGATAACGTTTTGCGCAAATGGGTATTACCTTCACGTCCTAGCTCGGAACGTGACAATGTGACAACGTTGTTAAAATGTCATATTCTGAATAATGTTTCTGCCGATAAAAATCATCGAATATTTTAACAGGAAAGTTGTAATGATATTGAAACTAACAAACACTCTTAAATACTACATCAGACCATTACAGGCAGCGCGTTATACGTATCTCGCATGGCGACTTGTGTGTATTTAGAGATGTTTTAAAGATCTCATATTTACAGTTTTTACAAGTTAATTGTTTTAATGAGTCTTACTGGGCTTTCTCTTTATTCATCACAAAGGATACTGTTGTACGGAAGTTCCTATCGGCAAGGGTTCTACAGAGTGTTGTGTAGTCCATACCCTCGACTATCAATGCAAACAAGTTTCCATCTCTTTTGGTCAAACACAGGAGACAAAAGAAAAAAAATGCTGTAGCCTTCAAGTTTTCGGACTGACTTGGTCGACAAAGCCGTTTTGAGATCACCTAAACTTCATTTAGACCACCCATTGGCACAGAGTAGAAAGCGTTTGAAGATGATACAAATCGCAGGAAATAACTACAGCGTGTTTCACCGAGATTGAAAACAGTATGGAGCCTGCATTACCCCACAATGGCTTTAGCAGCTGATGGTTTTTTGTTGGTCCTTTTTATAGCGGGTCTGAAGCCAGCGTCTATATGGACACACCTCGTTGGCTTAGCTTAAGCGATGCTGAAAATGTGAGTTTTATTGTGGCGTCGTATTCTATCTATTGGGTACGTGCCAAACACCACACAAGACTTCCCGCCATCTGTGTTAGCGCTGTGGCCGCCACAGGAAGTGTCAGCGACCGCTGCTGACAAAGTACATGAACTTTCCACATCAACCGCGCAACAACAAACTTTATTTTTCACTACTGCACAAGGTCATGTATATCAGGACTCTATCAGGTCACCCTGTCCACCAGGCGATCGCTGAGCGACCGTTGAGCGACCAAAGTTCGGTCCTTAGTTTGATAATGGGACATTATGTACGATATAAAAGTGTGATATAGAAGGTAACAAGACAAAAAAAAATGTATTCTTCATCTATGGAATTTGTTGAGTGACCGTCAAATGTTGGTCGGTCACTAGTCACTCAGCGGTCGCAGCGGGATCGGTGTGTTAGAAGTCTATGATGACGAACGCACACGTCCTGATATGACATGAAGTGTTTATACTATTAATGCTATTTCAATTTTGTGTTTTGAGGATATGTAGTTAAATCAGGGTATCTTTTAATACAACACATGGGCATTCACTATATACCTTGACATGAAGTAGGATACACCAAACGGCCCAAGTAAATAATGCCGTTAACACCGCCTACCGCTTTCATCTGAAACACATCCCTAAGTCAGAGCATTGCCCCGGACTCTGCCACTTCCGTGGTCAATCGAATTACCAGTAAATTAGTCGGCAGACTTTCCCGCGCCCTGGAGGCACACAGGATTCGTCATCTTGTCAATACCAACCCGCCGTGGTTCAATAAAACGACAATAATCAGTGCCTGGGCATGCAGCTGCTCAATATACGCTCCACACTGGACACCATTACGCCGTGATGACTCTGATTATGCATCTTTTATGGTTTAACGATGACCAGGGCTTGGTGGTGAACGCGCTGACGCCAGGATGGTATCAGGGCTGTCATCCTGACGCCGGGGAGAAAAAAGGACTGTATCACCGGTGCACGGGAGCATTACAGTATGATAACAATTATTATCACCTCCATGAAAAATGGAGGATATATTTTGGGCAGTGTTTGTCTAGCTGTCTATACTAGTCTTAGTCATCAAGATAACACAAGAACGACTGGATGGATTGGTTTCATATTTGGTTTGGAGGTAAGTTGTGACAAAAACATAAGTCTATGAACCCCTGGCGGTTTTCCTAGGTACTACATATATGATTTTGTGTATTCTTCATGTCGATAGCTACTACAGACCTTGATAAGATTACTGTTCATGTGTAAATTTGACACACGGCGTCCTCGTAATTCTTGGTCACAATCGTGCATTTTTGCTAGTATTATCCATTTACAGTTCCGAACGAACAGCAACTACAAATCCTGCAGATCGACAACCTGACTCGGTTTCCAAATAAAAAGATGATAATAACGTATTAGTGAACATTATCGCAATAGCTGTATGTACATGTATCCCAGGCAGTTAGGTCTAGGTCCTTTAATGATCACTTTGATCGGTAACGATTATACCAGCCAATCTCCGCGGCGTGCTGATGATGTTCAAAGCTCTATAGTGTGCAGCTAACCAGTATGTACCATCTCTGGCAGGTCCTCTATGGTTTGTTGCACACAAAATTCACAACAAGCCAAACAACAGCCGGCACGGATAACAATACATAACATCAATGTTGAACTTAACTACAGTATCAGACTCAATAGTAAACAAAACAACATCATTTTTTTTTTTGTAAAATGTGAAATCAAATAGAAAATGAAAATCTCAGCTTTCATGATTTATATCCATAACTAATAATTCGCATAACTGATAATCATTTTTGCAAAGTGATGAACCAAAAGGCTAACTGGAATAGACCACAGGGCAATAAGTATAACTGTCATTTACTATAAGATATAGGAGGAAATAACTTGGAGGCAGTGGCTACTGAATACATAGTCCTACGTTTTTAATGATACGTGGGTTTTGTGATTTTAGTAGAAATGTAGGATTTTGTAGATGTCGGAAAGCCTGCGGAGATCGTGCTTACTGTTTTCAAAGCCTGCATCAATGAATTATCAACGGCGACGTACACTATAGCGAGCCTGTGGTGTAACATAAGCCGATTTAACGTGTAACAGCCCTGCGCCTTCTACTCCAATAAGCACCTCCCGGTAAAACAATCAGCGGCTAGACTTACTGGAGTGGAAACTACACGTATCGGCGTTTTAACGTAATGTTGTGCACAGCCGACTGTATAGCCAATATATGTAGGATGTGTTTTTGTCGTTGAGAAAGTTACGTCGTACACGGCTAGCTTACATATTGTACTCTCCACGCAAAGGTTACGCTTATTTTGAACGTTGCTTTTTTAAGGCTTTTTAAGGGATTTCTATTTTGTCAGCTTTTCTAGCTTTTAGGGTAGTGGAGAAAATTAGAAAACCCAAGTTAGCTTTTAGGGTAGAGGAGAAAATTAGAAAGCCCAAATTAGAAAGCCCAACAAAGCGCCCCCCCCCAAAAGCCTAACCTCTGCTTGGAAAGTGCATACTAGTACGTGTATTCTATGATAGAGGGTATCATATTTCTGTCCTCAGTTCCGTGCTTGACGCCGAAGAGTACAAGTATGCATGTCCATGTATTGTAGCTTCCCCACACTCCTTATCTATAACATGCCCGTCCAGTCTCCACTTTAGAGGAAATTAAAGAACGGATGGAATGAAAACTGGAGAACCCAAGCTATCCGTCTCGGTGTTGGAGTCCTAGCTAGCGATAATCGCGAGTTTTGGGCAGACTGACGGCTACCCAGTCCCCTTCATGGCGCGCTGAAGTACAGACACACCTGGCATCAAATTGATGGGAGCCGGGACATTCAATGACATTTCAATCTTGTCACACGCACAACGAGCAAACCGCCCCAAATTGGAGCAAAATGGGGCGGAAAGATTAGAGGCGATGTTTATAGACTCACCTGGTGCGGGGGAAACTTTCCCCGGCGTGCGGCTAGGGTACAACCTGCTGGGACGTAGTGTGCTCGAGTGTGCTGTCAGTGACGCACAGTAAGGGGACCGTGGACGGTGTCTTCCAATGGATGCCTACGCACTGGCATGTACCGGCCGCCTGCGATGCTCCCCCGGGCTGAGAAACACTTTTCCGCACACCCGGCGATGCCAAACTGCCTTGGTGGCGGAAGGAAAGGGAGCGACCGTTACTTGCTGTAGGTGGGGTGCGGCCGCACTGATATATGATAACGGTAATCAAAATAAATCCATAGAGTTGATGATATGCAAAACTTTGTCAAGGTTGTTACGCACCACGATACCTAAAGGTGAACAGGCTTTGCCGCACGCATGCTCAAGCGTGAGCAATATTCAAGTTGGCCCCCGTTATACCGTGAAACCATGTGGTCACTGTGCTATCGATCCGCGGCCTAGGGGGTCTTCACAGGTAAGATTTGTTTAA